CCCCCCCCCTGTATCCGCCACTGTTTACTACATATATTAATGTCTACTTAATTTGCATACACATGTACAAATAAATATTTATTTAAAATGAGTGTGATTCAATACGATATTATAATGTAGCTCGTGACATACCTTGACACTTGTTGTTAATACACGATTCCGTAGGCGGGCAATTTTTATTACTGCGGCAGCCAAGGATGCACCCTCTACTAACGCATGCCTGATCCACTAAGCATTGAGAATGCGCAATGCACGACACCATACACTTGTTATTAATACATTTCTCTCCGTCTGAACAATCAGCGACTGAACGACATACAGCTGAAACACAATAGAAATTCTTCGTTTCATAATTCGAAATTTTTCAATACAATAAAATAATTTAAAATTCAATGCTAATTACTAAACATTAATTGTTCATCTATACAGTAAAAATTAGATCAACATCAGCATATTACCTCGGCATTGTCCATCAAGACAGATGCTGTCCACGCAGTCGGCATCCACCAGACAGTAATTGCTAGCCCGTACGCAGCCGTGTTCCGGACCCCTCGAGGATGGCACGAACCTGTGGACGCACTTGCAGCTTGGCTGACCGTTGACGATCTCGCACAGCGCGTTGGGACCACACGCGTTCTCGCACGGATTAATGCAGCGGTGCTCATGGCAGATGGAATGCACCGGACAATCCTTGGGGCTGGAGCAATAGCCCTCCGGCTGGCAGCCGTTCACGTAAGGATCGCCCACATGATTCGGCGGGCATCGACACACCGGATTGTTCGTTGGACCAGCGACGCAAAGCGCGGTGGGATGGCAGGAATCCGAATGGCATGCCTCCACGGCGACGCATTCGACATCGGGCACCGGGTTCGGACGAAGTCCAGGGGGGCATTGGCAGATCGCTTTATGGTCGTCCGCGATGCAGACCGCGTTCACGCCGCACGCATTCTCGTCGCAGGCGTCGTAGCAGGTGTGCGTAAGTCGATTGCAGAGTTGCGCCGGCGGGCAGTCGATGTTGTAGACACAAGGCACCGCACGACACCCGGACGTCGAATCGTTCGGATCGCCGGCGTACTGCCCGGGTGGACATTCGCAGTTCGCCACGTGGTTATTGACGACGCAGAGCGCATTGGGACCGCAGGTGACAAAGTCGCAGACCAATTGGCAAGCGAGCGGACCGTCCGGAGTGCCGCGACATGTCTGATCCTCCGCGCATTCGCTGTCCGTGGAGCAACGGTTCTCGCGCGGACTGTGGCATCCTCGACGGTCATTGGGATTGCCGGTATAACCCGGTAGACACTCGCAACTGCCGTGATGATTCTCCGTCACGCAGCGTGAATTCACGGTGCAAGTGAAACCGTCGCAGAGCGACGTACACTTCAACACACCGAGCGCATCTGGTCTGCAGCCCTCGCTCGAGCGGCAATCGTCGTCGCTTATACAGTCGGGCACCGACGGCTTCTCACAGGACGACAATACCGGGTTCCACTCATAACCATCCTGACACTTGCAAGTGGCGTGACCAGATACGACATCGGGTTCGCATTTCTGATAAGCGCCGCACACCACCTTGCTGCAGGGATTTACGCAGTCGCGCACGCCGCCATCCAGAGTGATGCAGAAGGAACCTGGCGGACAATCCGAGTCGTGTGCACATCCGGATATCACGGACTTGGACGGCTGGCAACCCTCGACCAGATTGCTCGGATTACCTTGGTAACCGTCGATGCACAAACAAGAAGACACATGATTCTGCGTGATGCACAGCGCGTTAGGTCCGCATTGCAGCTTGCTGCACGCATCTACGCACTTGCGGACGCCTTTGCCGATCTGGAAGCAGATCTCCTGCGGCTCGCACTCAAGATCGTTCGAGCAGTGACCGTGCAAGTGGCAACCTTTGTGCAGGTCGTTGGGATTGCCGCTGTAACCAGGCGGACATATGCACACTCCATTCTGACAGACGGATCTGGGACCGCATTTTATGTCGCTGCACTGATTTATGCACTTGTGATTGACGCAGGTGTAGTCGAAGGGGCATGGTACAGTGTTGCTGCAAACGCAGGTCGAGGGATCAGCGCATGGTCCCACTTGCACTTGCTGACATCCAACGAACGGATTGCCGAAGAAGCCGTCCTTGCAACGGCAGTCGTAGCTTCCAAGGGTATTGATGCACACCGCATTGCTGCCGCATGCGTTCCCGTTGCACTCATTAATATCTAATAAAGAAATAGAAATATATTACGTATATATTTTTATATTTATCACAATCTATAGTTGATAAGAAAGAATATGTTATACAAAAAAAATCAGTCGATCATATTTTTTTAACTATTTTAATATATAAGTTTTACATTTTAATTGCAAAAAGCTGCATTTTATGAAAGAAAAATGATGCAAATTAAATGATAGGACACGAAAGAGTCAGCTGAAATTAATAGAAACTAACCGAAACATTGAATGTATGGATTGCCAGCGAAGCCAGATGGACAAAGACACTCGATAGCGTTGGGACCCGCGTTGCAGTGCGCATCTTTTCCGCACACTGCAGTAGAACAATCGGACTTCTCTTGAACGCCGCAGCCGTGATAAGGATTCCCGCTGGTACCCGGATTGCAGACACACTTTGATTCCTGAAGCCCGTACTCGCAGTGCGCATTTTTCCCGCAGAATGGATCGCAGTGTGGTGGTTGAATAGCTACGTAAAAAAAATTACGTTGTTTAACGCAGGAAAATATATTATGTATCTAAATAAACTATTAAATGCATAATTTAGAATTTTTTAAATGCTCTACTGATAAGTTGCTAATTTTGAAATGTCTCACTTTTCAATTAACCAATATATAAACAATATATAATATATTCAATATGTATTTGATAGTATTTTTCTCCATACAAAAAAACATTTACGAAATGGAATATAAATCACTATCTCCTTTCACATAGATTAACTACGTTTGTAATACTTACGTGGCATACAAAGCAGATCGGGATTGCCCACAAAGTATGGGTTGCACACACATTTATTCGTTAAAGGATCGCACATGGCTCCGATGCCGCAAATCACTCCTTCGCAGCGCCGTTTGCAACGTCCGCTGATACACACGCTCGGCTCGGCGCACGGGGTTTCAGGAGAGCAGACATCCGGAACGCATTGTCCACCAGGGAAAGGATTGCCGATGAAACCTTCAATGCACTTACACGTCGGTCCGTCGTAGCTAACGATACATTGAGCCCCAGTGCCGCAAACAAAACCGTCGCATTCTGAAATTAAAACAAAGTTTTATTTTTACATATACACCACATCTAAAATCATAATAAAGATTTATATAACAAATTAATAATATTTTGACTAAAAATATTATATGAAAACTAAAACTATATTTGCATTATAAATAATTAGCAAATTTCGTTTAAATTTGGATAGATTATTCTATGCACGTCACATAATAATCTTTTTTATTTTTAATTGTATTTAGAAATAATTTTTTGTAGATTATTTAAAATATAACTAAAATTACATTTAATATAAAAATATCCATAAAATTTATAATAAAAGTTTTATAAAATTCCCACTTACGCGAGACGCATTCGTTGTTCTTGCCTTCCGTGAACCCGATCACACATCTGCACCACGCTGCGTGCTTATCCGGCTCGCAATATGCGTTAGGACCACAAGGTACGTTGTCACAGGGATTGACACAACTTCCTTGGACGCACGATAAGTAGTTCTCGCAATCGTCATTTGACGAACACTCGCTTTTGCCGATCGGAGCTCCGGTACAGCCAACACCGTAAGGATCGCCAATCATACCTTTAGGACACTCGCACGTATGATCCCCTTTCGTGTTGATGCAATAAGCACCGTGTCCGCAAGGATTATTCCCGCATTCGTTCACGTCGATACAACCGTGCTGTGGATCACCCTCGAAGCCAGCTTCGCACATGCACCGTGGTGGGTCACTTGGGGTGCACTTTGCGTTAATACCACACGGGAAACGATCGCAAGGATCTGCAATAATAGGATTTAATAGTAATTAAGCATAAGAAAGAATTGTCATGGAAATGTGTGGTGCAAGTGATGTCAGCAGTAGCGAAATAAAATTCGTAGACTTACTCTTGCAAAGATTTCCATCTAAAGGATCCGTGTAGAATGGCGGTGGGCACACGCACTCCCCAGGTTGCACACACTTTTCGTTGGCCTTGCATTCGTGGTCGTTGGTACATCTCTTCTGTGCCGGGGAACAGAGGCCGTTGTAGGGATCGCCGCCGTATCCGTGTGGGCACACACATTGATGGGAGCCTGGTAGATTGATGCACTCGGCACCGTAACCGCAGACTTGGTGACCCACGATACATTCATTTATATCTGCATACAAAATAATATTTGTCAATTGATTGTTGTCAAATACAATCACGTCTGTTTCTTGCTGATAATTAAATTTGCAGTAAAAAATAAAACTTTTCTCGAAATAATCACTTTGTCATACCTTCGCAAGAGCCATCGGACTTGGTCGTGTATCCCTTGGGACAGGCGCAATAGCTGACACCACCGGCAATCGTTATGCATTCGGCACCACTTGGACACTTTTCACCCTTCGAGCATCCGGCCAACATGCATTTACCGTTGACGATCTTGTACGGAGGTTGACATTGACATTCGATGCTGTTGCATTCTGCAATGTTTTCAACAACAAAAATATTTAACGATAACTAATACATGTTTTTAATTACAATTATTAGAATATATCAAGGAATCAAGAGCTCTACCTTCACAAAGCGAGAAGGGATTTCCATTGAAACCTGGTGGACACTGGCACTCGTAGCTGCCGGGTAGATTCTTACAAATTGCGTTGACACCACAGGCAGGCTTTTCTCTGAGTTCCATGCACTCGTTAATATCTCTACATTTGCCGGTCTCGTGGTCGCGCGTATAACCACGTTGGCAGATGCACACGCTGCTACCCACAAATTCATCCTTGATGCACTGTTCTCCAGCAGGGCAGGGCGCGCTGGGACCACACACGTGAGGTGTTTTAGATTCCTGGCAACCGCCGCTGTAAGGATCGCCCGTCATGCCGCTCGGACACTGACACGAGAAGGAACCAGGCTCGTTGTTGCAAATTGCACCCGGAGGGCACGGGTTTGTCGCGCACTCGTCGATGTCACGGCAACCGCCCTTCACTCCGGGCTTTCCGGTGTAGCCGTTGCTGCAGAGGCATGTCGCCACGTCATTTAAGAGCATGCAATGCGCATTGGGTCCACAAGACAGGTCTTCGCATGGATCTGATCAAAACAGACGCGAAATTATGGACTGATAATATTTTGTTTACAAAAATAAATTTCATTTAACTTCTAAAGCATATATTATATCACATACGTCTGCAATCGTTTCCGACATTAGGCTCGGGGCACAAGCATCTCTTTTGTGGATCACAAATAGCGTTTCCTGGACAATCGTCGTCAACTTCGCATCTAACTATGCCGACGCATTTAATGTAAGGATCGGGATCCGGTATGGTTTCTTCTGGACAAGTGCAAGCGTAAGAACCTTCAGTATTAGTGCACGTTGCTCCGTGCCCGCAAACGTCGGACTTGGCACATTCGTCAACATCTGTATTTATTTAAAAAAATATATATATAAACACAAAAATAATTAATTCAATAATTTTTATAAAATAAGTATAATTTCGTATAAATATTTGTAAATAGATTAATATTTATACAAATTAGAATTTAAAGACAAATAATAATTTTTGTAAAATTTTAGTAAACTGTAATTAATAATTTATCTTGCGTAAATTTACCTATACACTGCTTGAAGGCATTTCCTGAATATCCCAGTTTACATTGGCAACTAAAACCACCAGGTGTATTCGTGCAAATGGCATTTCTGCCGCATCTTCCGGAAGGTCCATTTATCGCATCGCATTCATTTATGTCTAAGCAAAGAAAATAACACCGGATTAAAAGACAAATTTGCATCAACAAATGTCTGTATATATCTTAAAGAGTATCAAATATTTCAATTCATTAAAAAAATATCTGTTTGCTCACCGACACATCCAGCTGCTATATCATTTGGATTGAAGGTCCAGCCATCTTCGCAAATGCAATAAGCTTCATGACCGTCGGCCTTGCAAAAGGCATGTTCACCGCAAGTTACTTCATCGCATGGTGCTGTAAAACAGTAAAAATTATGACAAACTACAGCTTTTTAATCTATAAGAATTTTAATCTCTTTTTTATGGTGTTTCTATCAATCATTTTTATATAATATCTCTTTCTCTCAATAAAATGCATATAATATCGTTAAAAATGTATAATTAAAATTACCGTTGCACGGTATATGGGGCGGAGTGCCAACAAAACCAGACTCGCATTCGCAATGGTAGCTTCCTCGAGTGTTGGTGCAGATCGACGCAGGTCCACAGGGATTGGTAAGGCACTCGTTGAGATCCACGCATTCGGCACCAACGGCTTTGAAACCATCCTTGCAGAAGCATTGTCCCTCGACGCACTCGGCATTGTTGACGCAATCGAAATTCGATTTGCAGAGAGTCGTCACATCGGTCTGAAAACGATGTGACAGAACGACACCTTATTACTCCGCGATTCATAATTCTCGTCGCGTTCAGAGACATTAGGCCTGTTTTTTATACAGTTTATCTTTATCTTTCTACATTGGAAGAAGAAAGATAAACTCTGAACTTGTATGGCCAGTTCAGCTATAAAAAACAGACCTATTGTGTACTTGGAAACGAGAACCGGTCCCGTCCGCTATACATATAAATATATATTCTAGATGCGCGAATAAAAAACGCGTGTTCATAATAAATGGAGCTGTGAGTCAGTTTTGGCTTTACAAACGACGAAAATATAGTTTGGAAAAGAAGTAAACTGATGTAAAACCGGTTCGCATACGTCTTGTTTTGTGTGCGCGACACCACCTTCGCTCCGTTTGCTCTTTTTTATCCGTCGCCTTTGTAGAAAAAAAACCGCGGGCCGGCCGGTCAAAAGGGTAGGTCCCCCCCTTTTGAGATATTTGTTCCGGGACATCTCTCGCGCGGAAGATCTTGTCCACATACGTATGCATGAGGTGACTCGAGACGGAATGTAACGGAGTAACTGAATTATTACCTGATCGCACGCGACTGCCGGGCTGGAGCTGGCACTGTACCCCGGCGGGCAGAGGCAATTGTAACCAGGCTCCTCGTTCTTGCAAATCGCATTTCTACCACAAGGATTCTCCAAAGCCGTACACTCGTTGATGTCTAAGAAAGAAGAAAACAGAATATCACAAAAAATTCTACAAAGTCAGAAATTCAAAGGAGCAGATTTGTTTTTTTTAAGTTTTAACATCACAAGAAGTTGACTCTATCAAGAAAATACGTACAAACTACGGTGTAAGTAGAGTCTTAGATTATCGGAGTAATTAGAGAAGCGCGACCGGTGTTACGAGTCCTGATTGGACTTACAAATGGCCAATCATAAAATTGATTCATCGATATCATCGACCGAATGAATCAATTTTATGATTGGCCATTCGGCGCCATTTTTAATATTATCTAGTACTTTTGCGTACTGCCACAAGCCGGTCGCGCTTCTAATCTAGGACTCTAGGTGTAAGAAGCGCGATTATAGAGACGCCAATCCGCGAGTGGCGACTGGCGCGCACTCGCGCCTGTGCCGCCTGTCTAACCGCGTCTTTTACAATAGATACAACTTTTGTGTAAAAAAAAAATAGCCAGTTTCTAATTTATGCCAAACAAACGTTTAACGAAGAAATTGTTGCAAGTGTGAATATATTAAAATTATATCAGTGCAATGCATTCTGCCTGGCACTCTTAGATCCACGATTCACTAGGATACGCGCGATTGAGGTGATACATCGCAGGACGCAGAGAAGAGGAGAATTATCGGTAAGCTAACCACTGCACTCCTTGAAAGGATCGCCGGTGTAATCCGTCTTGCAGCTACAGACAAAGCTGCCGATCGTGTCGATGCACTCGGCATTCTCGCCGCAAGGGTTGCGCTCGCATTCGTTCACGTCTGTTAATGAACATTGTTAATCACAGGATGAGTATTAAAGCATGCGTCGTGTGACAGGAGAGTGTGTTATGACATGAGAGCTTAGCTATGAGACTGACTTTCGCAGCGGGTTAGTCCCTGACCGACGAAACCCGGGGGACAGATGCACTTGTACGAGCCCGGGACGTTGATGCACCTCGCGTTGGCCGCGCAAGCGTCCCCGCCGACGCACTCGTTCACGTCGACGCAACCGTGCGCGGGATCCATCCGGTAGCCGACGTGGCATCTACATTCGTAGCTACCCTCGGTGTTTACACATTCCGACTCCGCGCCGCAGGGCGAACTTTCCTCGCACTCGTTCACATCTGCCGATGACGGGTCACAGTTGTCAGTTAGTGGGACTTGGACGGACGCGCGATCGCGGAAATTTGTAAGTTCAAGCGGATTGTCAGTCACACAAATGTGTCACACTTAAACCAAGAATTCTATCGATATCATGGGAACTGGTTTTTTCACTGATGGAACTTCAATCGAAACTCTTTGTTAAGATGCTATTGTTGTCAGTGATGATAAATAATGTTACGTTACTGAAGCATGATTAATTAATAACACGCATATATATAACATTTAAGCTGTTTCCACGCCACGTAATTTCTACGTTTTACTTACCGCACAAATAGTAAATTATAATCGTAATTGAAAATTCTCTCAAAACTTACCGTGACAACCTGACATTGGATCACCATCCATTCCGTCGGGGCAAGAACACCGGAAGCTACCATGTACATTCGTACAGAGAGCGGAACGTCCACAAGGACTTCTCAGACACTCGTCAACATCCCTGCACTCCTCCTCGGGGCTTCCGTCATATCCGTTGGGACATTCGCACTTGTGCGCGCCTGGTACATTCACGCATAATGCACCCCTTCCGCAGGCACCCTCGTATTTGCATTCGTCAATATCGATACACTAGACAAAAATTTAAATTTCGTAAAAATTTAATAAATAAATTCATGATTACATATTCCTAATTGGGCGTTGCCTGAAATTTATTAATATTTTCTAACATGTATTGTACATGAATAAATTTACATTTAATATTACTTTTCTATTTTATATAATAATCATATTTTATTTATTAAATCAAGTTCTTTTTAAATATAAAATTTGTAGAAATTTAAACTAATTACGCACAATTATTCTTGCTTTGCAATAAATTTTAGACAGGATAAATGTCTTAAATCCAAAAATGACATTTATCGTACTATTACGATCGGAATTATTAGAATATATAAATATTTTAAATCGGAATTTATCAGTATATATACTTCATGATTAGCCCGCATCCTCCAGAAGCCCATCATCGTGGACGAACGATGATTATTAAGATTAATATCCCCAGCGTCGTATAAATATTCGAAAAAAAAATTTCTACGATAAGGTAATTGACTCGCAGGCGTGTTATTATCCACTTTAATCTCGAACTTATCGTTTTCTCGGCTACGCATCCCCGTTCTCGCCGATGTACTCACACTGTTGAACGGGTCTCCCGTGAATCCGTCTCGACATGTGCAAGTATAATTGCCGGGTGTATTTTGGCACACGGTATTGTCGCCGCATGCACCTGGTATCGTGCACTCGTTCACGTCCTCGCAATGCACCTCCCCGTCGCCGATGTAGCCGGATTTGCATTTGCACAAGAAGTTCGAGGGTAGGTTGCAACACTCGGCATTCTCGACACAACGCCTGGCGATCGCTGGATCGTCGCATTCGTTGATATCTGCGGATGCAGGGCATTCGTTATAAACGAAACGAAATGCGTAGCTGAGCGCTCAAAACACATCGAGATAATTACCCTCGCAATGAAAGCCATCGCCTCGGTATCCGGGAAAGCAGGAACATTGAAAGCTGCCAAGAGTATTTGTACAGTGGGCAAATATATCACAGGGCCGATATTTACATTCGTTCTCGTCTGTAATTTTCAATTTATAGTTTTATTAAATTATTGTAGATTATTGCTTATGTATGATGTAAGTATACAAGAGAATAGAAAAACATACGTGCAGTATATATAATTACTTGCATTAAATTCCAAACGATTTGCGTGTAGTAGAAAATATATGTATATACGTACGTATTAAGGGAATAATTCGATAAAAAAATTTCATACTAAATTAATATATAGTGACATAAATAGTTACACAAACCTGGAACTTGACAGTTACATCCTCCAAACCCATCGTTACAGTGACAGACCGAATCCAGACAGACACCGTTTTGACATTTGGTACCGTCTTCTTTTGTACAATCGTCTGTAACATTTTTGTGTCAAATTTCGAATGAATTTATTATATCTCACTAAAGAATAATACATCTCGACTTTGATCTAACAATTGATATTATGAGATAAATCTATAAATCTATATACATATTTTTTGTTTAACCCAAAATGTTTATTAACGTTTTAATAAACATAGTTGATATTTTAAGATTTATTTTTTTCTTAATGTATAAACGAAAATTTAATTTTATTTACGCAGGTAAATAGTTAATGATTTTATCCGTTAGAGACAGCGTTATATAGGATATACTTTAGAAATATCCTGCACGAGCCATTTTTGCTGGTCATTAAGTAAGATTATCCGAGAAAAAGGGGCGGATAAATTGCGACTATATTACACAGCCATCGGCTAATCGCGCAATTTTCTCTCGCCAGGCCTAATCGCCAGTCGAACATCAAAGTTTTTCTCACAAGCCGCAAAGCCGCGATACTCAGTAGATTCGAGTAACATGATCCATTGGCTCATCGGCGCCTCGGCAACGTCAATTACGGTCCCACCGGGAAGATAACGTCCGTGGAAAATGAGAATAAAATTCCGCGGCGCGGCTAATTGCGACTCGTGGGCGTGACTCGGTACAATATGAAATAATGACGCGAGAAGAGATCCCCCTTAATTGACCCGACGACGAGACGTGATGCTTAACGCGTTCCTGCGGTTTGTGTACGACGCGAGAAGCAAAATTACTTAGCGACCGTAATGACATCGAGAACGATGGCATGACGTGAAGAAACAACGGAAATGTTAACGACAGTGCATCGCGAATGTCGTGCGACGTCACCCTTTCCTGTCGCCGTGTGGTGTACGATCGCTTCGCCACAGGATTACCCTGGCAATCTCCGAGAATTACTTCGAGAGGATATGTCTTCTTCTCTCATCGTGTAACTCACCTGTGCACTTTAACCTGTTGCGCTGCTCGTCCACGCCTTGGTAGCAGTCGACGCGATGGTCACAGAGCTTTGAAAGCTCGAGCAGCTGAAGGACGTCCGTCGACTCGTTGACTTGACAGCCAAAGTAGCCGTCCTCGAGGTTCAGGAAGAATACTTCTCGCCTCGATCCATGGCCGAATCCTTTGCGTGATTCGACCTAAAAAATTACGGAATGAATTTTATTAGTTGGATGTTATCAATATACATTCAATTATCTATTATAAAGCTTATTCAACATGCATTAATTACATCTGCGCACTCCGACATTTTAACACAAGTTTCTATAAAATTCCGATACGTACATCCAGCTTTAAATTAAATTCTTTTGATAAAATGTGCATATCGTATTTAATTAATGATTCAAATCAAATGGAGAGGAAAAAAAAGAAATTAAGTAATTTCTTTGCCCGCGCGAAAGAATTAAAGTTTTTAAAAGAATATTTTAATTCTTACCGGATACGAAGCTAGAAGTATCCACGTCAGCAACGGCCAAAGATGTTTCATCTTTGCTGTAAAAAGATCAAATCATACCAAAATTAGTCACATTTTATAGATATCGCGCGAGTCGAACGTCTGGTTTTGATTTATTATTAACGAAGCGCGATAATTTTTAGTGGTGACTGGTTACGCGCGCGTAACAACGCTTATCATCCTTCCGTGGAGAACGTGTTGCGGAAGAAATTTAAATAGATTCCTAAACACGCGCGTAACACAACGACGACGATGACTTCACGCGGGAATCACCAGTGGTAATTGCATCATCGCGAATTCACAAGTAGTTTCGCAAAAAACGGCACCCTGGGAACGATTTTTCATGATCGTGCCGCATCCGGGGACGAGAGAGGTAGAGAACTGTGCAGAGAAGAGAGGCACTTGAACGTTCCCCATGATGTTCACGGGGTATAAATCACATGGAAAGCACCGTGGTTGCAGGAAATCGTCGGAAAATCAAGCGTGGATACAAAACCGCAAGAAACCATTGAACGTTTTTCAGTCACAACGGATAAACCTACACCGGTCGAACACCTGTTCGACGAACGAGCCACCGCTCCGTCGGCCACTTCAATGCGTGGCTAATTCACGAATGTGCGACCGGGGAAGTCGGTTGATCCATCAACCCCAACATGTAGGCCACGCGATGCATGGAAATGTCGACTTTGTCCTTCAACGCACTCGGTAATTTAAACGTTTTGATACGGCAAACATAAGTAAAACGTGCGCAAAATGCAGAATAACTGCTAATAACGCAGCATCAATAGAGTTGTCGATGACAAATGTAAAATAAATATCTTTATTAGTGAGAAGCTATTAACGTCATTACCAGTCATCATCTACGATTTTTTTTTTCCGATATTACGTATCATTAATCCTGAGGCATCAAGTTTCTATTATAGTATAAGCTTACATCGACCAAGCCTTAAGTGCGCTTCGTCGATCCGCAGAATTCGTGGCGCGTTCGGCTCGACATGATGAGAAAATACGTGTTTGATAGCGACCGGACTTCTCCAACGGAATTCGTTTCAGAGACGCGGAAATCTAAATCGTCGAGTGCAGCTTGCGATGAAGCCGCGGTAACCATTTCCTGTTTACCGCCCTTCTCTTTCGTAATTCTGCCGTCGGTAGACGTCCAACTGTAAACGCAATTTTCGCGAGATAGCATCCCCATACGCAAAAGCGTTCTTCGTTCTGGGCCCGCAGGCCTCTTTCTCGTCGAGACGCAGCGAAACGCACTACGTGCGCGCGTGTAGCGAATAGCACAATAAGTTGGAGCCGCGGCGATCAACCTGGTGCGGTGAAATGTTAACGACTGCACACGCGGCCAAGCTCGCAAGGAGGACCGGAGGGTGAGAGGGAGAAGGGAAGGAAGGACGTGCGTTCGCCAAGTCGGATGAAGAGGAGGAAGAGAAGCGGAAAGTGTGCGAAGGGGAACGGCTAGGGAGGATGGGAGAGGAAAGAAGAAGCGAAGGAACGCGTAATAAAGGAGGGCGTGCGAGTGCGATGCACCTGTAGCCCTCCTTGCCTCCCAACCACCTGGTATCGTCACCGAGTCGTCCCTCCACCGTACCCCCTAACTTGTGTCGAGATATACATATAAACCCGCAGCTCTGCGCGCGGGTCTACCTACACGGGGGAACCCACGAGTTCCCTTATTTTAATTTTGTCACGGAAGCCGGCCACCCCACCGCGCAGGCATATTTTTAGTCCGGCTTTACTTCCGCAGTCCTATAGTCAAGGTCTCTGAAATCTAAGACTTTGATATGTATTTGAAACGAAAAGTAAAATTCGTCGAAACTTAAAAGAGATTGATAATAATTAAGACGTCCGTTCATTAAAACCATGTAAACAATTAAATATATACGTAATCGTGTTTATCATTTTTTTAAAATTCTTATAAAAATATTTCAATATTAAACAATGTATAATTTAATTTAATGTAATGCTTGGATGTGTTTCAATCTTTGCGCACATTTTGTAGCTTTAGTATCACGAGGATGTTATGAAAGTAAGATGATTGTGTAACGGTTCACGGCTTATGCGCGCATATCAAAGAAGTGTTTATTTTGTGATCAATCTCTAGCACGTTAATTATTTGCTATGATTAAGATTTAATGTTTTGTAAAATTGCTTAATAATTTAATAGGCATATAATAATCTTAAGCGTAATAATATCTAAAAATATATATAAAAACATTACAAACTTTGACAGTAATAAAAATTCTCTTGTGCATGTAACGAATCGATAATGAAATTGCTTGTTCAATCAAGATTCATTATCGTCACACTTGTAATTACTACAGATAAAAACGAACGTCTCGTATAAATTTATTTAGCTTTGTAAGCTATAGCGTAGATAGACGCTGAAATGCGAAGTCGCATCACGATCGTTCTTGGGCTCTGACATCGATTTTTCAGCCGCGAGCGATTGACATAGTTACATCGGTTTTTGTCGGTGCCTCTTTAGCATATCTGTCTGTCGCAATCTTACAATTGACTAGTCGGTAGCTCTCGGCTATAATCCAGCCACGCGAGTGCACGCTTCAATTTTGCATTACCGTATACCTACATACGACACACGAGCAATATAAATTACAATGTGTGTTTATATGAAGCACGCGAAACACCTACGCGCGATATTATCTATGATATGAATACTGGCAATCATGACTTTGTCATCGTTAAAATAAGACAAATTAACACGTACAACTAGTTATACAATACTTCTAGTTTAAAAAGCCGTTTTCTGATGTCAAAATACATCAATTTCTCAAATTTAATTAATTTTTAATTATTTAATGATTCCATGCAATTTCAATTTTCGGAATAGCAATTTTATTCCAATTAGTTGTATTTTTAATAATGAATATTATATAAATATATATATATATATATATATATATTCTTAAATATATATTGAAATGCCAAACAATAATGGGCTTTTAAGCCAATCAGGCAAATTGCAATTATATTCTACATTTTCATTTCAATGACATCATTCGCTGTATTAAATAATCGCGAATCAACTTAGTCGCTAGCTCTGCCTGAAATAGATATTCCAGGTCAATAACGACTCTGGCTCGCGAGTCATCGGCTTCACGGATTTCTTCTTTATTATACTGCCTCGCCCACGAGACTTTCGGTTTATGGAAGCTTGCAGGTCAGGAACAACGTGTTTGTGCGACGCCGTGAAAGTGTCTACATGTGACTAGAGAACATCCTGGGCCTGTAGACATTATTCTTTTGCGTGTGCTCGGGGCAAGGGGATACATCCTACACACGCGAGAAAGAGAGACCTCAAAGCTGACGTATCTAAAATATTCCGTTGCGTCAAACGCATAGAAATAGTAAGATTATTTGTTAATTAACAACAATTATTTTGCACGCGTGTTTTGCATGCGACATTCAAAAACCACTCGATATTATTCGTTGCTCACACAAGTCATTAGCCGAATATATGTCAGACAACATCAAAATTCATGCACTTTCTCTCGACTGTGGTCCCCAAACAGCGAAACCAAATTTAAGAGGTCAAGAAGAGTGTCGCTTGATTGTATTATATGCCAAAGCAAAACAGCTCTCATACTATAAATGACAAGCGTTATAAATTATTAACTACGTAAACATAGAGATATATTGCTGAGAAACATATTGCTCTATCAATAGAAGACAAATAAATATACATTATGTCTTATTATACTGCCTATATTTTAAGCATAAGTTAGTCGTAAAACCATATTTTATAGAGATTGGGTCTTTTTGTATATAGTAACAAATACGAAGACAGCATTTTTATTTCATAGATTGGTATTAGTTTGCATGATGCCTCGAACTAATCGCGACGCCGATCCTTTAGCGACAGACATTTACGGCTTCGTAATGTCGCCAGCAAACGAATTTGCATGTTTAGCACCCACCGTCGACGATTTAATTGCATAACCATCGTGCTAAGTCTTCCTACGTACGATGCTGATTTCACGCACGAACCTCTTTACGCGCTTGCGTAATTCCTCAGTAAAGTAATGCAAACGAAGCATTTCCTTTTGTTCGAACGCGTTCTCTTGTTACGCTGGTGCATTAGGTTAATCCTCATTTTCTGAAAATATCAAAGCTGAATCTACACTACGTAAAACACTTTAAAATAAAAATAACGGAAATTTACTATTAAATTCCGATATTTATCACAACAAAGTAATTAATTTAATGAATATAAATGATTTAATTACAAGCCGACTGACAATGGAAGATGATAGAATAAAGAAACGATACAACAATTCCACAGCGTTCTAATTACTCGGCGTCTTCCTTTCATTTCGCAAATCCGCATGTGTGTCAAGCTGCATCACGCGTACGCATATATGAATATTTATTTAATTATTTATACACGTATATTAATTATAGAGAGAGACACAAAAAACATGCGAGGAGGCTTTCCTCTCATCATGCTTGCCGGATCTGTTCGAAATTTGCGTTCGTATGCAATACAAAGGTATAACTTATACATGAGACAAATTTTTTGCTTGTCATATTTGCTCCTTTGAAATGAACAATTTTTCTGTGAATGATATTTTGATATATCATTAAAAACAACAGAAATAAATACTCGAATTAAAGGAAACGCCCAGTATATGTATCGCACACATTGTGCAAATATAAAATATTTTTTCAACTTTTGACAACTGCAGTAAACAACAGAACTGTCCCTTGCTTCGTCGAGAGCACGTATAATCGAGTTCGTGTCTAGAAAATCGACGCAAAAAGATAACCAGATCGGAAGCCATAATTTTAGTTAACGGTTTTCGCGGAAGATAGGAGGAAGGAAGAAATCCTGTCCGAGAAACGAAGCAGTTTGTGCAACGCATAGAATTTTGTAAAACAGGAGACGAAACAAAACACCGTGTTCGCTATTACATATCATTCTGAACTTAATGAGCGACTTGATCCTGACTTTTGCCAAATTTGATCGCAATTCATGTAATTCGTGGGTGGATTCACAGTATTTCTTCGGAAAACC